GTTGTGTTTGAGGCGGTGGATAAAGTTTTTCCTCCTTTGATGATTGACCAGTAGGTGAAAATATCGAGTGTTGGCATCTCCCTCTTTCAGATTTGTAATTCTGGAATTCTGACGTTTACGTGCCTTTTCAAGCACAACCAAACCAATGATCTTTCTCTTAAGCCTTTTTCGAAGATCTCGCTCACCCGGAGAGAGCACCCTTTGCTCTTGAGCCAAATCAAGATGAAGAATAACCTCCAGGGCCATATGTAATCGAACTTTGGATTTTGCAAAAAGGGTTTTACTCCATTTGTGAAGGTTCTGGCTTGTTCTCTTGAGCTTGTGGAAGAGTCTTTGGAAAGGCTCAACATGAGCAGATTCCTCATTCCAGGACGCACTTACCGCATTTTGTAAACCTGGCATTTCGATCCAATGGTTCTCAAAGCAGAAGGTCTTTGGCCTCTTTGGTCCAGAGTTGTTGGCAAGCAAAAAGGGGTAGTGATCAGATAGCGACGAGTAGAGGGCATGTAGTATGTGGTTCGCGAATTCAATGTCCCAATCTTCGGTGGTTTTAGGGTCATGGAGCCATGGTGGATATCGGCCCCTACTAATGGAAGGGCTCGTACTCTGTTTTTAGGTGTTTTTTCAGTTTGAAGGGCTTGGGTCCTACCTAGGTAGGCAGGACGGTTGGGGCGGCTTGCTGAAAATGCAATAAGATTCTCCCCACCTAGCCCCCGTCCTGGCAATACATCTCGTTTCATTGGAGGGCTTGTGGAGGTGCGTCTCTGACGGGTCTTGCGGGATTCGTTCGGTGTTTGTTACCGGTAGATCCGCGTGGATCAGTCTCCGTTCGTTTGTGTTTGTGTGTCTATACATTGGATCCTTCCGATCCACGCGTCTCTTTATCGACGACGGTTGTTGTTCTGACGCATTGGTCCTTTGGCGCCTTAGCACGATGACTTCCTGGCTGTTTATTGATTTCCCTACTCCTTTGAATGAGGGGTGATGATGTCGTCGCACCTTCTTCTTGCTCCAATGCTTCTAGTTATCACTAGGTGGTCTACGGACATGTGTGTAATTTTTGTTACTTCTAATGTTTTTTATACCGCCGATGAATAGAACAAAAGCTCTCGCCGTAAAAAGAATAATAACCAAAAAGTGCACTGTGCTCCGTTTCAAAGAAAAAAAGTTGCATCGTTCATCAGAAAATTAGCACTACATCTGTGGTGTTAGGAGGGTCAGGCCTGCAGGTCGTCCCTGTCTCCACCACTGAAAATAATACTGTATTATGCAGCTGTACTAGAATGGTCCACATACTATATGAGATAGGCAGATAGCAATACAAGAAAGAAGATACGTGCATGCATGCGCGCAGAAGAAATCAGAAACGGTCTAAAAAATCAGAAACGGAAAAACGCAGAGATCGATCGGCATGATAATGAAGGATAATCGGAAATGACGGAAAGAGAGACATATCGAGAGAGAGAGAAAGGGAGTGCGATTGGATGCGTGTACGTACGTACCGACGCCAATCTGGTGGGCACTCTGGTCGTCGATGCCCATCTGATCCGGCACCTCCTCCTCCATCATGGCCGCCATTTCTTGATCGGTTGATGGATCGGGCCCGGCCGGATGTAGAACTCAACTCAACTCAGCAGTTCACTTGAATCAAATGCTAGCGGTATTCGATCGGGTCCGGATGGATCCAAATCGGCTGGCCATTCCTTGATCGGGACGGGTCCTGCCGGATGAACTCAACAGCTCACTTCAAGTGCCAATTTCGTTGTTGGATCGAAATCAGCTGGCACAAATTCGATCGATCGGAGAAAATGCGCGGCGGCACACCATGCATCGATCGGCCGCGTTTTTGGGTTTTGCTTGGTTGACAGCGGGAAGAGGGAAATGGAAGGGAGAGAACGAGTCTTGTGATCAGTCACTCCACAGAATGAGGTAGGACATGTGTCGTCTACACAAGGTAACGCTAGCTGATTCGTCGGAGCGGAAGACCAAAATTAATTTCTTAATATGTTACTCTAAATTAATCCCCCCCGCCAAGAAAGGTTATAAATTAATTTAATATATTATTGTTCCGAAATAATAATAATAACAATAATTTACTCCTAAAATCGTCCATCAACCCAACGCATGCATCCTATAGTACTAGTATATACAGGGATAATATGTTGTCCGCATCATGCATCGATTGCTGGTTGCACTTGCGTATGCTTTGTATACCATGTGCGTCGATCACGTTTGGATGTCGCCCATTTTCCACGCAGGCGCATATGCACGGCTGCCCGCGTACAAATTTAGTCGGGTCACATGACGGAGATGCGCGCGCACCAGCCACCAGCGCAGCGGGGCGTCCCTTTCCGCTTCCGCCCCCATCAAGATCAAATCATTGTGGCGACTCCGGTGCGTTGAACTCTGCTGCCACCCTAGTCCAGGTCCGGCCCTAGTCCACAATTTGGGCGCCTTGATTCGTGAACATGCAGCAGCAGCAGCAGCACAACGACCCAACCACCCCTCCTCAACGGCATATATCTCCCTACCACTACTGCCACCACGGCCTAGGGGCAGCAGAACATGCAGAAAAGCTCGATTTATTTGCCCGTAAAAGCTTTGCGTTTGTGTGTACACGATTGACCCGGTCGTCGCATCACTCCCCAAAGATTTCTCATTGTTTTTTGTCTCTTGCACATGTGCGCCCATACTCAGCACTCATCACGACGCATGTTTTCCCCTCTCTCCTTTTTTGGGTCTCGCTTGTACTGTCAGTTTTGTTATCCACTGAAAACCCACCACTAGCACCAGCAGAGTATATATGTATGGCTAGAAAAGAAAAACGAAAACACGGAACTGGGTCGACCAAATGGAAGAAACGTGTTACTTCCAGGCCGATTGCTAAAGCCCAGCTACCACCTCCTTGGGGCCCACACCGCAAATGCTTTTTTTGCTCAGCACGTACCCTGGTTGAGTGAGATTACACACAGCGACAACGGTAGGCCCAACCCACTACATGGAAAGCCCTCCCATGTTTTTCCATCACCGCGTGTCGGCTCGTCTCTAACGTCCTTGTCGCATCAAACGTCTCAAAAAGCGATCAAAACCAAAAACACAAAACCGTCGACCAGAACTTCCTAGGCACGCATGCATGCGGGCATCCATTTACTTAAAGATTTGTGAATTTGTGTATGTTTTTACTTTTTTTGCGGGTTTTTTAGTCCTTAATTGATGTATAATGGGATTGTTGCCAACTTTTGGCGCTTTTGGCAGCTCCATCCACCTCACCTCCTATGACTTTTCATTATTTTTTTCAAATTGGAATCTATTATACCTATTAAACCGAAAGTCCTAATTAAGCTTTGTTTGCATATTCGTGTTTGTTGCAACAAGTACTCTTGGGCAAGACTAATTTTGAATACATTTTAACAATTTTTATTTTTTTGCCAAGTTTTAAATATTATGACCTGATAATTGTAATATTAACTTTTACCAAATTTCACCAATTTTCAATTGTTTTTAGCTTTTAGGGGTTAGGTCTTAGAGTTCAGGGTTTCAGTTTTAGTTTTTGAAACTTAGTGAATGCATCGTTCATTTCTATCAAGTTTTAGTAGTTGAAACTTGGCAAAGTTTAAAAAAAAACTTGTCAAAAGGTATTCAAAAGTTGTAATGTTTATTCGAAAGGTATTCAAAATGTTTCAAATGAGACATATACAAAAGAACTTTATCATCAATATTAAATTATCGTTTCTGAATTCTTTTATCATGCCATCTTTTTCTTTTTCTTTAAGCAACTTAACACTTTCATACGCTTCGGTTCTCCAATCAGGTGGTTGGACAATAGGAGCGAAAATTAAAGCTTTCTTAAAAATTTCAAAGGCTTCCACACAATCATCGTCAAAAACAAAATGGACATCCTTTTGCAATAGATTAGTAGGAGGCCTATTAATTTTAGAGTATTACTTAATAAACTTTCTATAGAAACCATCATGGCCAAGAAAAGTTCTTATACCTTTGATATCTTTAGGACATAGGATTTTCTCAATAGCATCCACCTTAGCTTTATCTACTTCAATACCTTTTTCAGAAATTTTATGACCGAGCACCATACCTTCCTTTACCATGAAGTGACACTTCTCCCATTTCAAGTCAAGACTAGTTTCTTCACATTCTAGCAAAAGTTTATCAAGGTTGGGTAAACAGTCATCAAAAGAGATCCCATAGACGAAGAAATCGTCGATGAAAACTTTGACAAATTTTTCACAAAAATCAGAAAATATAGCAGACATACATCCTTGAAGGTAGCAAGTGCATTGCATAAATCAAATGGCACACGCCTATAAGTAAAAGTTCCAGAAGGACAAGTAAAAGTAGTTTTCTCTTGATCCTCGGGATGAACAGGTGTCGGTGTCAAAACCAACAGACCTCGGGGTAGGGGGTCCTGAGCTGTGGATCTTGGATAGATGGTAAGAGGAACAGAGAGATGATGCTTTACCCAGGTTTGGGCCCTCTCAATGGAGGTAAAATCCTACGTCCAGCTCTTGTTTATATTAATGGAGATGTATCTAGTACAGAGTTGATCTACCTTGAGATCGTAAGATGTGGTCGAACTCTAGGGCTAGGTGAATGATATTGCGTTAATGTCCCCTCTACGGGCTAAACCCCACGACTTATATAGATGCCATGTAGGGTATCTAGGGTTACAAGGTTAGTATCTAGGCACAAGGCGGCAGGAGAAATATTGGAGTATACGACAAGTCTTCGGTGAAGGTAGTCTCGATCACGCCTCCTGCATACCGCCTCTGGAGTCCATCTTGAGTACGAATTAAGGCCCATCGGCCAAACTTGAGGAGCATGGGCTGCCTAGCTTAGCATCCCCCAATCCGGGACACCGTTAGTAGCCCCCGAACTGGTCTTCTATGCCGAGGATGAGTCTCTTGACGAAAGCAACCTCAGATTCAGAGTCCTTGGCTCGACAGACGAGTTCCCTTTTATAATTCTCAAACCACTCCTTCAAAGGAGCGATGGCAACCGAGGCTCGCCCAAGCTTGTACCATGCTCGAAGAGATCAGATAACTTAGTCTCGAAGGCCAACCATCTAGGTATGAATAGTTCCACCTAGTCTGGCAACTTTATCGAAGCGGCTCACCTCACGACAGGTCAGAGAATTACTAATTCCCTTAAATCGTGGTTCAAGGCAGCCTTTTTACTGGCACGTCCCATCGAGGGGGAGACCGTGCTCGTTTTCTCAGGGATATCATCAAGATTTTGTTTCCCCCCGTATGCTTAACGACATATTTTGTGAGAGTGGCATTTTTATCGGCGCGACAAAGGGGACTCTTGGCCTTTCATCAACCAATAAGAGCAAAAGAGAGGACAACGCAATCGACCGCGCTCTCATTCCCCCTACATGTTGCTTCGTCTAGCTCCAGCGCCCAGATCAAATCTTGCACTCCACTTCCTCAGTGAATACCAACTTCCGCATCCAGCCATGACCGACACCCTTAAAGGGCACTGGGGCGATTCCACCGTAACTGATGGCACCATCCTAGAGCTACGTGGCGCAAGATATCTCTGTTGGAAATATGCCCTAGAGGCAATAATATTGTATTATTATATTTCTATTATTCATAATTGTGAGTTTATATTTCATGCTATAACTGCTATGATCGTGGAATATGCGATTCAGTGGAAAACCCATATAAACATGTGAAATAATAAACGGTCAAACAATAGGTTCCTGGTCCAGCCTCTAGGTCTGGCTCAAATGTTGTTGGTGATCACATTTTTCAGATCTTAGGATATCGTTAGGTGCAACAATGATTGATAATCCCCAAGTGCAAGGAATCATCGTAGCAATTTCCAAAGGTGGAAGTGGTAAGTATGAAGTGTCGAACCCACAAGGAGCTAAAGGTAAGATCAATATTCTCTCAAGTCCTATCTGACACTGATACGACTCTACGTACACCGAACGTTTCCTTCCATCTAGAAACGAGAAATAAAACTACGTTGTGGGTATGAAGAGGATAACTTTGCATGATATCGGAGAACTAAAATATAAAAATAGGTGCTGTTAACATGAAGTTAGAATATATTACAAATAGCGAGTGTGGAATAATGATGGATTGGTGTGCGGAATTATCATAGGCAATTGTTAACAAGACTGGTGGTCGTTACTACAATTTTATATGAGGGAGAGGCATAAACTAACATAATCTATCTACTTTGATCATATGCACTTATGATTGGAACTCTAGCAAGAATCCGCAACTACTAAAGATCATTAAGGTAAAACCCAACCATGGCATTAATGTATCAAGTCCCCTTTATCCCATACGCAACAACCCCCTTACTCGAGTTTAAGCTTCTGTCACTCTAGCAACCCACTATAAGCGAATCATGAACGTATTGCAACACCCTACAGCGGGAATCCTTCATGTGTGTGCGGCATAGAAGGCACCATAGGACAACACCAAAATAGAACATACAACTCAAACCAATCTAGATCGTCAATCAACCCAAAAGACAAAAGAAATCAAATCAAAACATCATAGGATGGCAACACATCATTGGATCATAATATGTGGCATAAAGCA